AATCCTTCAGGCACAACCCTTGTCATATGCCTTCATTCCTCTCTCATCATTGCCAACTCTCTTCACAGTCCAGGGGCTCCACCCACCCCTCCGGCCAGTGTGGCCCTGTGGCTGGCTCCTGCCATGGGGACAGAAACAGACGTGAAATACACAACTCCCATATCATTTGCTTTAGAGGAAATCTGGGGCTTGTTTCTTTTCTGTCCCTGAATCCTGCTGGAGCCTGGATATTGCAGGACCCAGACTTGACTGACACGCAAGGATGGCCAAGGAATGAGGTGAAAGGAACCAGGCTTCCCCAATGCCTGCAGCCCGATTGCTCATTTCAGGAGTGGGAAAGGAAGCCAAGGGGACAGGAGGGACCCCAATTCTTCCTTTTCTCAGTTCTCACTTGTGCTCAGCAGCTGCCTCGTGGCCTCTTCAGTTCTAAATATTAGGGCAACTTTATCTCCTTGGCAAAACAAAATATTTTCATATATATTATTCCACATAAAAAATGCAATCATTCTAGGGCCAAATGTGAGTCTTATTTTGAAGATGAGGAACTTGGCCTCAGAAGGTCCACGGTCAGAGCTGGTGGGGCTGCACGGGACCTCCCCCTCTGCAGCCTGTCTTCTCTCCTCAGCCTGGTCACCTGCATCGAGCTGACCTTAGGGGAACAGAGTTGTTCGGGCAAAAAGCAAGTTGCATGTGCCCGGGGGCAGCCAAACATGGGCCAGGGTGTCACCGGAAAGATTTACACCCTGGAATGACAATTAGGACTAGATGATCCTTAAAATCTCTTTTGAGGTCCCTCAAATTATCTGCAATGTGAACTCCTTCTAAACCATCCCCCTCCACACTCAAACTTTAAAAATAAAACATTTCTGCAGGAGCTCATTGCTACAGAGAAGACAAAGTAGAAAAATACAAAAAGAATTAAATGAAGAGACCGGTGAGACGTTTGAGAATTCAAGAAAGGCAAAGTTTAATTTGCATATAGGCACAGCCTGCACCACGCGTCGCAAGTGTCAGGCCACAGCACAAACCCCTCTGTCGGAATCGCACATCAGCAGGTTCCCGAAGTAACTGGACACGAACAATATGCTTCTCAAAGTAGCACATGGATTTCTCCATTACTCACATACAGACAGAGAAATAACAAAGAAACGCACTTAAATCTTCTACAAAAGACAGATAAGGATGGTAATCATGTTATCTCACAGTTGGACAGCACTTTACAGTTTACAATCTAACCCACTTTGTCCTCATGACAGCCCCGTGAGGTAGGCGGCACAGACACGCCGACTAACTCCGTTCTGCAGGAGGGATGACTGCGGCTCCGGGAGCTTTGGCACTGGCCTACGGTTTCCCGGCTTGTAGGCGCCGAGCGGGGCCTAGGACGCAGGCTAGGAAGCCTAGTCCAGTGCTTTTTCATAACTGCCTTTCTAGGGGAAAATGAAATGGATTGTGTAAAAGACAGTGGCTCAGCATCATTAAGTAGAACTATTATTTTTCTCAAGATAAGTACAGTCAATCTTAATGTTAACATCATACTGTGAGGAAGCCCAGATGAAGAACTTTCTGATCATTCATGTATTGATATCCACAACAAAATGGTGTCTTCTACTTTCTTTTTCTGTTTAGTTCTGCTCTGCCTTAATTTTAAGTTGCTAACAGACACAAAGAAATGACACGCGATTAGATTCCATTGATTCAAGTCTCATTACCAGGATTCACACAGTGGCATCTGCAGCCAAGTCGTTACTTAAACTTACAATCTGTCGTCCTACTGAAAAGAAAAGGGATCTTACTCATTTATTCCTTCTGGCTGTAGACATTAGCCAGGTTCAATTATGTAGCCATAAATAGTAGTTATTTTATCCCATTTCAATAAGAGTAAAATGATAAACTTTACAGGTTGGATTTTTTTTTTTAAATCTTATATTCTAAAATGAAGGCATTTTTTTTTTCAGAAAAATCAAACTGAAAGGAAAAGCTAAATAAAATCTTTTATTTTAAAATAAAAGTTAAATTTATTGAGAATAACCCATTTTTATTACATATCCCTTTTTGGTTAAGAATCTAAAAGTGGCCAAATCATTGTGGGCCCAAGGTCCTCTCTCACCTACTATCGTGAAGGGTGTGGCCCATCAGCACACATGCCCCAGCTTAGGCCATAATAGATTTTTCTCTTTCAAGTTGTTCAGTATCAGTGAGTTTCATTTGTTTTTAAGTAGTACTTGAAGATGTACTGAAATTTAACAGTTATTGGGACTTCGTGTGAGAGCCACTTGAAATTATTGCAACAGTAGTTTAAAATTCCCTCTTTAAATTCCTTCAGAGAAACTCTAAGGAAAGTGACAACTTTCTACTTCATGCCTGAATCTGTCACCTAATATACTGGCCTAAGGAAGAGATTTGTCCCTGTAGCAAAACTGGATGTCTTCGTTAATAACCAATGGCATCCTCTAAAAGCCCCAAGGTAATTTCATTGACAGTACAAAATGTGGGTCCTCATCTGCAAGCATGAACTTGGATTTTACTCCTGATTTTATGGGTCAGATTTGCAATAATAAAAGTGTTTGCTGCTTGGTTGTCAGAGGCTGACCTCCCATCTATTCTTAGAAATCGGTCTTATATAATGGAATACTGGCAAAATGCAGCCGGGAGTGCAGGATCCAACAATATACACAAAGCTTGCAAAGCAGAAGAGGGCGGGTGCTTTAACAATAGGAAGAAACATCACAAATTTCTCGTGGGGATTTTAAATGTGACCAAACTGAGGGTTTTTTAACTGCGAATTCCTATCCCCCCTGGCCCTGTACAAGAAATGTACAGGTCATCAAAAGAACTCTCTTGGAGGCGGGTTCTCTCACAGTTTCAGCCAAGTGACTCGAGGAAGCAGGAGGGACTTGTAAAGCTCAGTAAAACGCAAACGGTCCGCATAGCAACAGATAGTGCCCATAGCTGACCACCGGGGGGCGCTTCCAACACTCTGCAAGAATAAACGTGAACTCTGTCACTATTTGAAAGCCTGCATACCAAAAGCGGAGGAGCGTTTGCAAATTCCTCTGTCTCCTATTCTTTCATAAGAATGGCTGCAGTGGCTCTGGAACATATCAGTTTAGAGAAATACGGGTCCAAACTTCCAGGGAAAGCTCACACAGAGTCACCCCCACCCCTCTGGAAGACTTCAGGGTACTCCAAGGCAGAATCAAAGGTATGGATCTTTCCCCGAGTTGTCTCGCCTGAAAATACTGTGTCTGGTCCTTTCACTGATTATCCTGGTTTTCATTCACCTTCCAAGACTATGATTTTGAGTCAAGAAAGTTAACCTTTACTTTCTTTTCTTCTGCAAGACCTTGAGGTGCTTGGTGCAGCTGACAAGCCCCCAGTTTCTGAACACAGAAATAAATTGCAAGTTATGCATTGTTAGGAACCAAACAACCCATGCTTTTCATCATGCGTCAAGATGCTTCAACCTCTTAAATGAAACTAAAGACAACAAACAGGCAACTCCTTGTGGGAAAAAGAAAAATAAAAATAAAAAGAAAGCATCCATAAGTAACCCTCCTTGGGTTTAGTGCTACACTGTTGGCTAATATGAGCTATTGAAAATATTTTTGGAATGGTCTTCAAATATTATAAATATTTTCTTTTACTTACTTGATACTTCACTGTACAGTTATGTACAGACATGGCCTTTACCATGCAGGAAAATTGTATACATTCTCCATTTCTATGTTGGCCCTTCCACTGGGTTTTAGGAGCCAGCAAGATGAATTTGTTAGTCAGCTGTTAGCTCTAACAACGTAATTATAGTGCAAAGAAAGAGGGACAATAGCTAGACAGATCAATTTTGTTCATTGTCAACATCGATACACTTCATGCCTTTCAGTGAAAATGTCAGGTGCAATAGGCTCAGGTAACAATAACCATATGTTTTATCTCTTTCTTCTTTTAAAGCAGAGGTCTCCCTGAGAAGAGAAGAAGGAGGTAAACACAAGAGAGCCCTATTTCTTCAACAACTGAAAACCCTGGGAAAAGCAAGGTCACTTTTTCCTCCCAGGGTAGCAGGACGAACCCCGGCAGCTGGTTTTCTGATCCAACAGCTGTTGAGTGATTGGATCCATTTCTCATACACGCACAATATTTTCACTCAAAAATATAAAATTTTAAAACAAAGACGGTTGGGGAAGAACTGTGTGCCAATAGTACGTGGAAGTGTGAGTTTTAAAAAGAAATTCCCACTAAACAACTTTTTAAAAATACAACCAGTCTTCATAATGAGCCTAAAAATGGTTTGCGAACATCAGAAGAGATTCCCACATTACTGTGAGGGAGGAAAAAAAGAAAACAAACACAACAAGGTGCAGAGATATATAAGCACTATACCTTTTCACTTAGCATTGACACCCACTCTTCCCCACAGCACTTTGTGGCCTTCAGTCTCATTCCACAGTTTTGGTCAGTGAGGTGCATGGGCACCTTTGCGCAAACTCTGCACCTGCCCTTCCGAGGGCACTGGCTTCCTGGCACAGCCTCAGGAAGAAGGCCCACCCCACCTCATGCAGCCACCAGCTGGAATCCTCTGGGGCACAGGCTACTGAGTTTTTAATGAAAGGAATGTCATGTACAAATCCACTTGACTTTCAACATTCTTTCCTCCCCTGTTGCCTAAAGACTGGAAAGCAGTTTCAGAACATGCCGTCATTCCACCATGCACTGAAAACCATGCACATGCTGCAGACTGCGATCGCTTGTGTGTCGGCCCATCCCTACAAAGAAAGCCTCGGCTTTTCCGGAAGCTGGTAACAAAGGAAACGGAATGGAAGCAGGTAAATCCTAGGAGGAGACTGGGAGGTGTACCCAGGCCAGTAAAGTGCCAGAGAAACATCACAGGCCCTTTTCATGAACCCTCATGCCCAAGTTCTAACAGAACATGGGGCAGATTTTGAAACTGACTTTCTTACCTGTGTCATTAAAATGGCCACTACATCTCCCATCTTACATTCTCTTATGCAGAATGTGCCATCCACCCTACCAAATACCATTTTTTCACCTTCCCACCCAAGTCTGAAGCATCTATCTTTGACCCCAAACAGCTGGGCTCTCCTGGCTGGAGGCAGAATTCCCGTTAAGTTCCTCTTCTGTGGACAAAAGACACCTGGCCTAGTCTCCATCCTCGTGGTCCTCACCGCGCGTGGCAGGCATGGCATGCACAGTTCTGTCTGTTTCTCTCTCCAGAAAAATCCCACGGGCTCAGGGCAGGGCCAACTCTTCAAGCAGACAGCCGGGGTTCAATTTTTAGTGACAGCTCATACAGCGTGTCTTCATCTATGATGAGGGCTTTGTCAAGCAAGTACTGAGTGACCTGGAGAAAAAAGGAAATCCTAGTTTTCAGTTTTTCCAGAACACTGGTTCGTGCATTTTCTGAATGGAGTCTGACACAATTCAACATACCCTCTTAACATTTAAAAATTTCACATAACTAAGAAACGTATGCATATAGCCTCTGTGTATAAAAGTAAAATCAAGCATGTCTTGGCCTCTCCCAACTCTCTGGGCTCCTCCCTCAAGAGGCACACTGCTATCATTTGGTTTGTATCCTGCTGAACTTTTTACTGTCCTTCTAGAGATTGAGCTGCTGTCAATATTTCACTGTTGCACAAAGTTGAGGCGAAACCCTTGTCAACGTGCTTCCTAGTGCGCGCGCCTGCGTGTTCCTCTAGGGCAGAGGCTAGAGACAAAATGAAAGGAAATGACGCTGAAATGAAAATGCTGGAGTCTGGAGTACTTCCATGTGAATATTTATTTTTATTGAGATATAACTTATATAAGTAAAATTAATAGTTTGATTAGTTTTGACAAATGTATACCCCCATGTTTATATATATATAATACATATATTTATATGTATATGTATATGTATCTGTATAAAATCATGATATAGAACAACCTCGTTACCCTAGAAAGTTCCTTCATGCAACTTCCCAGTCAATCTGCTCCCAGAAGCACCCAGTGCTCTCATTCCTCGCACCATGTATTAGCCCTGTCTACTCTAGAACTCTATGTAAATAGAATCATACCATATGTACTCTTTTGTGTGTAGCTTTTATCACTCAGCATAATGTTTTGAGATTCACCTGTTTGTGGCATTTATCAGTAGCCTGTCCTCTTTCATGGCTAAGTAGCACCCCATTGTATAGGTATACCACATTTGTTTATCCAGTCATCTGTTTATGGATATCTGGATTGCTTCCAAATCATTTACTATTTTTTTTTTACATTTAGGTAATGAATTCATCTGGAATTTATTTTTGTAAATGGTGTAAGATGTACAGTCAAACTTCTTTTTCCACTTACTGAATGGTCAATTTCTTTCTGGTACTTTCAAAAATGCCTCCTTTATCCCATATTAGATTTTCATATGGATAAAATATGTATCTGGACTTTATTCTGCTCCATTTAATTTGTATTCTTATACCCGCATAATCTTATTTTATTCACCACAGTTTTGTCTACCTCAGCTTCCTTATTAATTTTAGGATAAATTTGTCAAGTTCCATGAAGTAGTAGGGAAAACTGGCTGTAAGTTATATGAGAACCTTCTGTACTTCCTTCCAAATTTTTCTGTAAAGCTAAAACAACTCTAAAAAGTAACATTTATTAAAAATGGAAGGAAGGAAGGAGGGAAGGAAGGCCGGCCAGTTGTGGCTGGGATAGAGAGAGGAAGGGGAAAGGTGGTGTATGATGAGAGATAAATCTTGGAAGCAGGGGCCACATAATGCAATAGTTCTTGGACATAGCAAGATATTTTTCTTTTTTTATTGTAAGAGCAATGGGAAACCAATAAAATACTTAATGCAAGTTGCAGACATATTCTACCTGTGTTTCAGAATTCCATCTGGCTGTAATGTGTAGAATGGATTTTGCATTGTAGCGTGAATGTAAGTAGATCAGGTAACATATCAGCAGCTTGGACCAGGAGTGGTGGTGATGTAGACAGATTTCAGACAATATAGGATGTAAAATCAATAAAACTTGATGATAACTTGATGTGTGTGTGTTTGCCTTCTTTCCTTTTTTTCTTAATCAGACTTCCCAAACGTTTGTCTATTTTATTGGTCTTTTCTGTGAGTCAGCTTTTGGTATTAATGATCACCTCTACTGCTGTTTCTAATTCATTAATCTGTTTTTTACTTTATTAAATTCCCTTACAACCACAATATTACCTTTGGCTGATGATCTATTCGATAGGAAGTCTGCTGGAACTGGCGTATCTCTCTGACGATATGTGATATCTAACAGAGAAACAACAAAAGCAAAGCAAAGCATTTCCCGATTATCACAGCATATTCTCCTGGGGGCCCATCCCAGGGTGACCAGTCACTTCCTCCCGTGAGGTGTCTGGAGCACTGTCTGATCATTCCTTATGCTCAGGGCTTTCTTGCTTTTCAATGAACTGTACAGAATGCTAACCGCAAGAAGATACTGAATTCATGATTAGGGAGAGAGCTGGCACTGGGTGACCTCAGGCTCAGGAGTGGAAAGCTCTGGGTGCTATTGTCCATGGGCTCCTTGCTTCTAACTTGGTGCCCAGAACCCGGATGTTTAGCAAGAAGCCTTCAGCATCTGTCTCACTGGTCAGCCTTAGAGCTTCATGCCAGGAGCTTTCTTCCCGCCCGCCCTTCGCTCAGACTGAAATGGCTCCGCTCAAAATCTGCCCCATCAGCCAGCATTGGGGGTTAGACCCAGTTCCAGCATCCTGTCCAATTCAAGGTTAAAAAGCAAGCAGTGACTTTCATGACTTAACCTCTTCTCTATAAGCCAGTAGTCATCGAAACAGACTGGTTAGGAGATTATCACCGACCATTCTCATTTTGGAGAAATTGACGAGGCCTTCCTCAGTAAAGTTTGGTGTCCCTTCTTCAATAAACGCCAGGTCTGTCAGGTACATCCCCAGATAAGGAACAGCAGGGGGGTTACAACTGCAAGACCAAGAGACACTATTCTCATGCTCATTCACACAATGTCGATTTCCCACCTCAATTAAACAGGAAGAACAACGTCTTCTAATTCCCTTTTCAGAAGCACACTCATGATACGCAGAGTTTTAAATACATCTTTTCACAATAGAATATAATACAAAATTACAGCCCATGCTTTACAATGTGTTTGAATAATACACAATGGCATGTTTGAATAATAGAGTAACTCCTAGATAAATATGAAACCTTTGCTAGCAGTGATTGTCAGTATTTGTTTGCAGTCCCTGTAAATTGGCCTGCGGGAAATCCCTATGCCCTCACCTCATTAAAGTGCAACCCATCAACATGGAAGAACTGGGTGGAAAAATCAATATGATTAGAGCTTGTAAAACTTGTGTTCGGTTTTAGTTAGTATTTAAATGTTTTACAAGGTATAGCTATAATTAATACTACAACTGCACACTAATATGAGACCTTGTTTACTTTTTGTGTGTTGTTTGTTTGTATTTGAGGTGGGATACACTATGTCTTCTCAGAGTCTAGAGCTGAGAACTTGGGCTTTTGATCCAGAAAGAAGTGGGTTTGGGTCCCAGCATGGCCACTTACTAACTCTCTCTGGCTCCCTCATCTATCAAATGGAGACACTAAGACTTATATCTCTAGTTAGTTGTGAGGCTTGACTAACACACCAAGCACTTAGCATGGAGTCTGTAACTTAGTAAGTAATCAGTGAATAGTAATTGTGTTGTTGTTACCACTAGGAGTCTTTCCGTCATGACATAACAGGACCAGTGTACAGATAGTAAGAAAACCAGTTGCAGGATCGATTCGATTCCGTTCTATTCTGTTCTGTTCTGTTCTATTCTATTCTCTTTCTCAACAGAGAATGATCCAGCAATAAAAGAAAATAGATAACAATAATGAATAGGTATTGGAATATTTAAATTATAAAAAATCACAGAATATCATGATGCTTAGCTTAAGAAATACCAAATCAAACTTTTTATAGTAAATCATGTTTGACTTACTAGGGTGATATTTTTCTTCCTGTTTGGAATACTCTGCATACTGTGAGCATATCCATATGATACTTACTGTATGCATCGTATTCCAAATGAAAAGGAAAATTGGAAAAATATGTAGGTGGTGGAAATTGTTTCTTATTAGTTTTTCATTACAAAGCAAAGTAGGAGGCAGGCCACTATCTGTACACTATATAAATTATTTAAATATATTTATGAACTATAGATAATATAATATAGGCATACTTTTTAAGGGTTTCTCTGAGATTTTTAAATCTTCCTTCAGATGAAACAGTCTTCTGAAGTTTGTCCATTAGCGCTTTTGTCTAGAAAGAAAAAAATGACTTAGTATGTCATGAAAACACTCCTATAGTTTGATACCAAAAGATGCTCAATTTTCTTTCATAGTCACAAGCTGTTGTGATATGATTTTCAAGATACCGAGATGAGATTATTTGATGTGAAAAAAAAACATGTAGAGAAGAGAAAGTGACTATGATACTCAGCCAAAAAGAGAGGAAAATATGTAGAGGAAGAAAATGGCAATATGCCAGAAACTCAGGACTTAAAGGACCGAGAAGCACATGTTGAACAGGAACTTTTGGAGGAGAAGTCTCACGTCAGGGGGTTTACATGATGAAGCTCTTTGAGTGTTAATTTCCAAATCACCAAAGCTCTCATCTGGTTGCTTGGCCATTGACCTACCAATATCCTCTAGTCCAAGTCCTTTCTCTTGTGACCATCTTTATCAACTTGTCAGAAATATATAACTGATACAGACCAAGACGTGCAATTGTTGCTGACACCGCTCTGGACTCCCCTTGTGCACGGGAGAACGGGAGGGCGGCCCTCGACGGGCACGAGCCACACCCGCAGTGCCCGCGCCCAGGCAGCTCAGCTGGGAAAAGCACTCGGGGTGCCCAGGCAGAGGCGCCTCAGGCCACTTGCCCTCGGGCCTTGGGGGGCTCCCCCCACCACTGCCCATGGAGAAGGTCGGGGGAAAAGCATGGGGGGAAATACTGACTGACGTCACCTGAATGAAAACGATAGGCAGGAGCAAGCTGAGTCCGATGAAAAGAAAATTAAGAAAGCTCTATTTCTGCACATCTAAGTCATCATGCCCACACTCTCAATTTACTATGTGAATAACAAAGAAAGTGGTGAAGGTTGAGGCCCTCTGTCCCGAGTGTTTGGTCCTAAAACATGTGCACCCTCACTTTGGGGGAGAAAGAGTGGATTCACTCGACATCGCTTAAAATCAATGTGCCCTCTCTAAATAATTCAGGAACTGACTCCTGACTGCCAACCACATTGTTTGAGACTCTCCCCAAATATGTTATAATGAATGTTTGGGGTTGTATTTTCTCTTCTAAATGAACCATTTAGAAATGCACATGAGTGGAATCAATTAAGTGATAAGAACACAGTAATTACTCACACTGGCACCTTTCTTTGGCAACTGAGCTGCTCATTTCAGCTAATTATTTCCTAATTAGTACTGTTTACCTTGGCTCAGGTCTCCCAGCCTCTCCTTCCCTTGGCAGCAGGATGTGTCGCACGCTGCCACTCACCTGCTTGGACACCTTGGCCCAGGTCTTCTTCAGCCTGTAGATGGCACTTCTGTTTAAGGCGGAGGTGATCTCCAGCACACCATTGTAGTTGTGCAGGCATCGGCAGATGTCCGCCACCGCCACCCACTTCTCAATTGCGTTGGCACGAGAGCTGACATCGGCGTAATTCATTATCTGAGAGGCCACCAGGTTACTCATCTGAGACAACGGGAAGGCCAAGAGAGGCAGCTAAGAGCTAGAGCCATGCATTCAGGCCAAATACCTGAGTCGCCTGCAGAAATGTCAGGAAAGCAGGGCGCCGAGGGGCATGGAGATCATAGTCCATATTTAGATAACAAATTTCGGGGGTGACTAAAGTCTGTAATAATAATAGCAAACAGAGGGAAGAAAGGCATTGTTGAGAACCAGCTTGTTGGGGCAGGCGTAACTTTGTCCATTGGTAATTTTGCTGGAGGACTTATTTGCAACAATTATTAAGGAAATAGAGTAGAATGAGCTAACCCTTGAGGAATAGTACCCTTTGCAGGTCATGGGTTGCACTTCTTGGGGCCTCTCCACATGCTCCTTGCCCCTCAGTGATATGGAATATCCACTCTCGGAAGCCTCAGTTATCACAGAGAAAGAAAATGCTTTACCTCCAATCAAATTGTTTCTAACCTCATCAACTCTCAAACCAGAAACACTTCAATGAAGGAGAAGAGAGAATATTTTCTCCTTCATATTTTGTTGAATTTTTTTCCACCAGCAGTTTTTTAAAAGGGCCTGTAGTTTCAAGGCTAAGTACTGTAATTCTATTAGTAAATCCAAGAGAAAAAAAATAGTGGCTTAAGAAGCACAACACTTAAAATATGGACAGGAAAAGGGCAGAATAGGGTTGACTGCTAAAAAGGGAATGGGGGTCTAATATAAGATCTGTACACTAAATTTGATGGGTACAAGCATTCTTTGATGATTCTTTAAGTATTTAAGATCTCACAGTGCTTCAGGATGATCAATATGCATACTTATTTAAAAGTTACTTTATATCCAGCACCTACTATGAACCAGGCATTCTTTTAGGTGCCAGAAACAGAAAGACATAAATCAGCATCCCTGACCTCAAGGCACTGAGTCTAACTAGATGGGAAGGGGCAGGGGTGTGCAGATATAAACAGTAAATGCCACACAGCAAAATGCAAAGCCAAGCCTGCACGGGGGTGGCGGTGGGCGGCGTGGCTGAGAGTATAAGGACAGCACGGGGCATCTGGCCCAGCACAGAGGAGGCTTTTGGAATGAGGTTGTGGGCTGCACTGAGTTAGTCACTGCTTTCCATCAAAGCAGAGGAACATTTGCACAGGAGTAGAGGTGGGAGGCGCAGTATGAGGAGGATCTGGCAGCCATCGGAGGGGCTCAGGGGTCACGAGAGGCAAGGACGACAGGGGAGTAGGGCTCTTGTAGGTCAGGTTGAGCAGATGAACCACATCCGGAAGGAGAGGGCAAGCCACTTACAGATTTTTGTCAAAGAAAGTGGTATCATTAAGTTGGCCTTTCAGAGAAGCTATTCCCAAAATACTGCATGAGGAGCGGGCTGGAGGGCGATGAGAGGGCAGGGGACAGTGAGCTGGGAGCTCCTGAGAGAAAGAGGATGAAAGGCCACGTTGAGGCTACGGCAGCGGGAAAGGAGGGGAAAAGGGTATGAGACATATCTAGATTTAGGGCTCACTAATATGTTGGGGGCGATGAGGGCGGGGAAAGGAGGAGAAGGAGTCAAAAATGACCTCTACATTCTGTACTTGGGCAAGTGAGTGTATGGCGAGGCCATTATCTGAGACTGAGGGCAGAGAGGAAGATGAAGAAGCAGGCATGGCAGGCCTGGGGTGCCAAGGATAAGTCCATTTGCTAATTGTTGAGGGCACAAGGTGGTGGCCATCGAAGTGGAGACGTGTGGGCGTGGAGCTGGGGCTCGAACCTGGTTTGAGTGTCCAGGGTGCCCCAGGTGTGTATGTGGCAGGCAGTGGAGGCTTGCTTTCCACAGCAGGCGCCCGCTTCTCAGAGAGTGGCCCAGGCGGGTCATGCGCCCTGTACTTTAGGCAGCAGTGGCTTTGATGCTCATGATGTGTTAGCATTCACTCGGCATGCGGGTGCTCTGCAAGCACCCTGCGCAGAATCACTGCCTTGGAATCTACACTGTTGTTTTTTATTTTGATTCTAAGTGACCTGTTAATTTACTTGCAGGGTTCCTGGTAGTCTCTCTTTTATTTTTTTTTAATGTTATCATTATTCCTTTTACTGTAGTTGAGCGTAACTGCAAAGAGAGCCTCCCTTTTTGCCTGGAAAGTCCTGAAGACACTTGGACATCTGCGGTTCCAAGTCAGGGCCAAGACCGTTAGACAGGAACAAAGGAGGAGTTGGTGGGCATACAGCCACTCCATCCTACTGCTGGAGGAAAGCAGAGCAGGGGATGGACCAACAGCTGTCCCCGTGCCCACGGCCAGAGCAGTACTCCAGTCCTGCTCGAAGAGGTCCCCTCCAACCCTGGAATGGGCTCAGTCATGATGAGGAAGAGTGGCATCCACCTAACCTTACTGTCACCAGCACCATCACGGACCAGTGACACATGTGCTGTTTATTCTGTTAGAACTAGTCAATCTACGACCATGAGATACTCATGATTATGATGAAAACAATAACGCCACCCTGTGCATTACTGGGCATTCACCAGACCCGGGCACCAGCGGAAGTGAACCTCTTGCATCGGGAAGTTAACTGAAAATTATGACATTACTGTGAACTCTTAGAGGAGATTTAAGCTTGCCTTTAACATTACTTCAGTTCTGTTTTGAAAGTGGGTAGCTTTATTTTTTAAAAAATCATAAGACCCTGACGTTCATCTTCCTGTAACATGCCCAATGTTTTATTTTTATGGTTACTCACATCATTGAAGTGTTGGCTGGTTTTCATAATGTAAGGTGTTCTTTCATTTTTATCCAGCTTCATCCAACCTTGCCCAAGAAACTCTCTGCAAGTTCAAAGCAAAGTATAAAACCAATTAAATTTTTAAAATACAGTTAATTATTTGTTTGGATATTATTGATATTACACACACTAAATTTACATTGCCCAACACCACCTGCTACTGACCATCTCAAATGAATTTTAGCTCCACTCTAGTATTTCCCCACTCCATGCAAGAAAGAAAAAGATTTTTCAGTTTCCAGCTTTCTCTTATAAATGTTTGGAACTTTGTCCCTGTTAGGCTCATTATAAAGGCTTCTCTGAAGTTGGAAAACAATGACCCACGCAAGAGGACTAAAGAGGCTAAGTACTAGCTCAGAAACCAAGATTAATTTCCCTGGATCGGCTTTTAAAAAGATGTAAGCCTTAGCAGAAGGTCCAAAAAATCAATCACTACCAAAAATGTTAATCAAGAACAGCATGTTTCCCTCCGCTTTGCTCTGATGGTCTCCAGGCACATTTCCATTCCACGGGCAGGACTCTCCTTTGTCCTCCCCAGAGACCAGGACAGCGCACTGTGGTAGGGGCTGAATAAACAGCCACGCCACTTACCAGCTTACAGCCCATTCAGGCGACGAAGGAGGTTACTGCGGAGGGAGGTGAGCCTGGCGGAAGGCCCACCCTCCGAATAACATTCCCGTCCCTTCCCTTAACCCACAAGCAGGCCACCAGATCACGGGGAGCAATGGGCAATCAAGATGGAGCACACAGGCATTATCTCTAGTAGCCATTGCAAAACATAGCTTGAAATAAAATCACTCTGACATATTCTTAATCCAGAAATGCTGACTGAGTCTCTGCAAGGTCCTTCGTCCCTTGCTGTTGGTGGGACTGCTCCCACTCTGGAAGGCTATTGGACAAAAGATGTGCTGGTTCCACGGCATAATGAAAATAATTGGTGGATGTTCAGCTCAAAGGGGACAGAGGTGGGGAGGGTCCCAGGAAGAGACAACATCAAGGGCCAGCACAAAGGTTTGGGCTTTGCTCTTTCTCCTCCCCTAACAGAGGTCACGCTCATCTCCCTCCCGAATCCTCACTGCACTGGAGGGGAGTCAGGAGGTGTGGGAAAAGGCACTGTGGTTCCTCATGCGGGTCCTCGAAAAGTCACTGGGTTCCTTGGTTTGGCCACTGGGCCACATTCCCATTTTATTGTTTCATGTTCATGGATTGGTCTATGAGTGCTGGAGGAGGCGGGGAGAAAGAAGATACAGTACGTAAAAGTCTGCAGGGGTATTTTATGTCCCTGCTCCTTCCATGTCTGTGACATGGCTGTAGGCCTGACCCTCTACATGTCCTCTGACCACCCGCCCTGCCATGCCTGCCCTCTATCCTCACTGTTACATGACATGCTCCAATCTCTTGCCCAGCCCTCCCTTATCCTCAATTTAATTTTTTGTTCACAGAAGACACGTGCCAACAGTTGTCATTTGTCCAAACCAAGGCGTTGTTTGTGGGCCACCAAATGTGACAGCTGGGAGGGGGCTTTAGGAGCCGCCCTGACCCTGCATCTGAGGAAATTAAAAGGCTGTGTGATGAGCCGACGGTCTCAAAGCTCAGCAACACTTACTGATTTATGCAAGTGGGGAGCAGAATTTACAGCATTTACCCAAGATCAGTCTCTCTAAAATTCTTGGACCACCCATAATTATCTGGAATTTTCATTGAAAATGCAGTTTCTCGGGCCTCGCATTTACTGGAACGGAATCTCCAAGGGGGGAGTCTAGGAATGTACATTTGTAACGTTTCCCGAACGCTGTGAGCCACGCTGGAACCGGAGAGCCGCAGCTGCAGCTGTCTGCGGGTCTCTGCAGTGTGAGGGCGTGGGAGTAAAGATAAACGTACGGTCTGTGGTAATCGTCGTACACACAGAAACATAATGTGACCATCTTGAGAATCCCCGCTATTTCCAAATCAATATTTCCCACATAAACCAGAAACAAAAGACACTCCGTGGGACCAAACCGTTTCAAGAGGAAGACTCAGCTCTGCACACTGATCTGGCTTAGGCATCGTGTCAAGCCTCAGCTGGCTAATCCTGTCTGAGGGGCCTGCCGCGGTTACAGCGCCAGCACTCACTCGTAGGGGATGCTTCTGAAGATGACGTGGTCCAGGAGGGTGATCTGCTCAGCCAGCTCCATGGCGGACAAGGTCTCAAAGCACTCGGCCTTCGGACAGTCTGCCTGGAAGACAAGTGGAGCAGGAGGTGGAACATGCACGGGAGTGGGCCTCCTGTCTGCTCGGAGCTGCTGCTGACGTACAAAGTCTATCACAGAATCTAGCTATGAAGAAAATGGTAGAAAGCTTAGAACTACCAGGCAACATTAATATCATGGACCAGTCACTAAACTACACACCGAGTGAGGTTCATCTGACAGAGCTGCCGTGACAGAACAACCGAGCACTCCGTCATCAGGACAGGCATATTGCTTGCCTGTTAGTGGGAGACTGCACATAATTGTGCTGGATAAGACCATGGGTGAACTTACCAGTTGGATTATATCTTCTAATTTTAGGTGAATGTCATCTTGATCATCTTGTGAAAGAGCTCTAAAAAAATAAAAATAAAAATAAAAATATCCCCCATGAAAAGAAAGTAGACATAGCAGGAATGAGAGTTCCCCAGGTCTGTGCTGCTGCTGCCAGCGGGAGGCTGTGGAGCCATGGCGGGGGAGGCGGACACAGGAAACAGGCAGTCAAAGAAACGGAAAATCACGTGTGTTAAAGGCCCAGGATCATCAAGGGAGCTGAGTTGTTACATACAAGGTTGTAAGTAAAACAGCCACGCAGAGTGACACTGAGGACGAGCTGTGCCATGAATTGGGTCCCCTGTAGTCCTTCGAAGTCTACTGGGCCCCAGGACCCCATCCCTGCCCCTCTCTTCCCTGACCCTGGCCCTGCCCTGTCCCTGCCCTGTCCCTGCTGAGGCACACGACATGGAGCTGCGCCTCCCCATTGACATACAGACCAGAAGCTCAGAGGAGTTCCTCCACTGCAAGAATTTCAACAGCGTGCAGCAGAAGCCAGCAGGTAAATCCTTCCCCCTTATTTCCCAGATGGACTTCCCTGAGATTTGACGCTATAACCCAACACATGGTGTTATTCAGTTCTCAATAAAATTCTTTTTTGATAGGTGATAAATGAATGAATAAATACAGAAGTTGCTTATGACTGAAGTGGGCGCTGGTTTCACTGTGGGAGTGATAAGTCCTGTCCCACACAAGTTCGGCGGCCAGAATTATACCGATTATGTAACTTGCCATCTGAGCGCAACACTTTAAGTGTTCCAAAATAAAGGCACACTTGTGTATTAAAAGTGTTAAAATATTTAAACAGTCCCAAAGCATGTAGCCTGTCTGCTGGAGGAAGCTGGTTTCAAAAGAAATAATGTTGTAGAGTGTTGTTGTGTTTGAGTTGATTTAAACAAAATTACCACCCTCCAAAGTAAAAAATCAACAGATTATTCTATGCCCATGACATGCCAGGTATATACTAAGCATTTGACATACACTACCTCTTGTACCACACACACAGACACACAAAAAATCCCTTCAGAGTAAGCATTATTATTTTCTTCATCTTCACTGATGATATATTTATTGATTTTAGAGAGAAAGGAAAAAAGAGAGAGAAACATCAATGTGAGAAAGAAACGTCCCCCACGCCCTAACCAGGCCTCAAACCCCCAACCTAAGTATGTGCTTTGACCAGGAATCCAACCCTCAGCCTTTTGGTTTAAAGGATAACGCTCCCACAGAGCCACCCAGCCAGGGCCAAGGTAAGCATTATTATTTCCATTTTGTCCATGAGGACACAAAAGCTGAAAGAAACTAACTTGGCCAGGGTTTGGTGCAACTGTGCTCTCCTTTTACTTTTCTTTGTCTTAAGCAGGCTTATGGGAGGCGCCTCTTCAAGGGTCCAGCAGAGCTCACGCTTCAGTCCCTTCTCCCCTGTCTTCCTCTGTCACAGAGGCTGCCGAGGGGGAGCAGAACCCTTCTGGACGATAGGAGGGGCTGTCCTCTGGTCAGCAATTAGTCACGTCATTTGTGAGCAGAAAAATACTCCTCACATGGTAAAGGACAGAGTTAGGTGAGGGAAAAAATAAGTAAACACAACTCTATTTCCCAAGACTATTAAATCACACTTAAGGGCTACATGTAGGGAATAAAAGTCTTTCTTTTTTTCTAGAGTTTATGTCATTCTTTCCACTGTAGGCTAGGTTCCTGGGGAGAGATCGGTGGCCCCATAACTACATGTGCCCCTGGACAAGATTTTCTTTAAAAAAAAATGATGGACTATTTCTTCCTTTGGAAAGAAATGGCCAAGAAATTAGTTAGCTTTTATCAAATGTTTCTCTCCTTAATGGTCTCACCCTAATGTTCCAAGGTACATTCTGGTCCCATTAAGTTATTTAATATTTTCTCTCTTCATAAGGGCCTACTGATGCTGTTGGGGCTTTGAGAGGTTTGGTGGGAGGAAACTTTTCATGCCTTGAACCCATTCTACTTGGCATTCCAAGGAGTCAATCATTGTTTCTTTTCATTTTGCAGCATGTTAGTTGTCTATGGAATAACTCTCCACAGCAGAGCCTCAGAAACCAGCTGGTCAGACATCGTTGGAGGGCAGTGGTAATTTAAAAACAACAATCTTGTGCAGAGGTTTTTGTTCACAGATGGGGCAAAAACTACCTATGCAAATTAAGCCTAAAGTAACGCCTGTGAGACTGTGTGAGGCAGAGCGGGTCATTTCAGAAAGCTTTTGCTTTACTAGATTCATGTACTTTATGTTTAAATACATGCTTCCTGCTTATATATCACAGTTACATGACTGAGTGCCTGTAAATCTATAATGTCAGGGCTACATTTCACTACATGATATGTTTTTGTTTCTCACAGCTATAACTCATATTCACTGGGAGGTACAGTCACAACTGTTTCCCTTCAGATGTGAAGTCCCTTCTCCCTCTGGTCCACTTCCAAGAGAGGATGAATTTACATCTAGTCTCCCGACTACCTTAAAGCTTTGATGAACACTCCCGGATCCTGGGTTTCCCTCACATGTATTGGTCATTATGACCAGTTTAATATTTGTGCATTTATAAGGAAACACCGGATTTAAAAATTTAAAAGGAGACAGGATTATCCAAGGTCCACGACTAGAAAATTTTTCCTTCAATTGCAGAAATCAGGTAGGCTTCCAAACAGAGCCAAGAGCAGCGGCCCACCCAAGGGACAGGCCCACACTCTTCGGGCTGCTCGTGCGCTGCTGCTGCAATCGAAGGGCTCATGTCCCCTGCGCGGCCCACCTCCGACTGCTCCTCCTCACGTAGGGAACGGTTTAGTCTCCTGTTGCTTCACTCTCTGGAACCTGCCAGACCATTTCCTTCCTATGTGTTCCCAAGAACAACCTTTCTTTCCTCCAGGCTTATGGGAGCCCATTGGCAGCCCTCAACTCCAACCTCTGCTCCATCTTCACGGGGCTTTCTCTCTGCGTCTCTGTCCTCACAGGGCCATCTTCTCATAAGGACACTGGTTATATTGGAGTAGGGCCCCACTTTACTCCAGGATGACCTCACCTTAATGAATTACATCGGCAATGGCCTTATTCCTAACTAAGGTCATATTTTGAGTTAGGGGGACAAGGACGTCAATATATTTTGGGGGAGGGGGGACATAATTCAACCAATGACAACTCCTGGATGAAAAAAGGGGCTGGCTATGCGATCCTGAGCCAACAAGGCTAAGAATGCTTTAGGGCCAGTTGTTAAAATGTTACAGACCCAAATCTGTCGTTGTTGCACAGGGAGGGACTTTTTTCATGGTGGACTGAGCTAAAATGAGCTCCCCTCCACACACAGGCATTCTGGATAACAAAGGTACTATAGAGAGAAGCTCTGGAGAAAAAAAAAAAAAAAAGGATTCTTTCCAAAGGTTGCAAGTGAAGAGGAAACTAGTCGTCAGAATACTGAAGGAGAGCCAGGCTGGAGGAGACAGGTGCTGGGCTTTCTCCCTCCAAGCAGAGACAGAGCACAGAGCCACGAGTGAGGTGGAAGGCTGAAACGTCTGCACAAAGCCACGGGTGGTGCCCTCTTCATATAGGGTGGACTGGAAAAGAAATCCTCCCACTAACTCAAGAAGCTGTAAGAAAGCTTGTTACCAGCTTGGATGCTGGGTGGAAAAGCCAAACAAATCTCTAGTGGGAAGCCCAAATTCAAACCTTTATCACAAAAAAGTGCAGGGCCCATATTTACAGAACATCAATGATGTGGAAATTCCAACCTGAGACCAGTGCAATGAACCAAAGGAAATGTGTAAGCACCCTGGCGTGGTACATCCACAGCCAGGCGAGTGAGACTCCCACAAGAACGCCACCACCTGCTCACGACCACAGGCTTAAGGCTAACAATTAGAACCCAGGTGAGGAAGGGAAATCCCTCTGCCAGAGCCTGCAGGGCTCGCAGGAGAGGATCCGCAAGGCTTCCTCCCTGTCCTCTTTGCTTCTATAGCAAACCACTGTCTGTCCACACAGGTTATATCGCACAGTCCAAAGTCTTCCTGAGATGGCAGGAAAGAAGATACATGCTTCTGGTTTGATAGGATCTTATTTTCTGTGAACATAGCACAAATCAACTAATGTCATTAACAGGCACCTAGGATTGCCTTTACCTCAGGATGTTGGCTGTGGCTTTCCTTTCTTGGGGAAGAAGGTCTGGGTCTCGCAAAACTTCTTCTAGCAAATTTAGGACGTTCATCTTGAGTTCGTTGTTGAGCTCGAAATCCTATAAGATAAAATGGATCTTTTAAAGTTTTAGTTTTGAAGGGTTTAGCTCCATGAGACTGGATACCATTCCTCGTGATAAATTCCCTAGAGCTAGGCAAGGGAAATAGTGAATGGGCCTTAGACTTCCCCCCGGGATCCTGACCTCGCTGGTTTGGGAAGGGGGGACTGCTGTTGGCATTTCTGACAGGCTTTCCAGGGGGCAGGTATTCCTCAAAGACGTTTGTGCTTCCCTTAGCCTGGAACACTGTGCTTTCTCCCCACTTTTATTTTTATTCATCTTTCAGGTCCAGGCGGGGATATAGTTTCCCCCAGGAGCCTTCTTTTGCAGACTCACTGGGGCGAAGAGCGGAGCCCTGGTGCTCCATGGCGCCCTCTACCATCGCTCACCATGTTGTCAGCACTGATCCAGGTGTCTGGTTTCCCACTGGCCCATGAGTAAGATCGATAACTGGGGCATAGCAACAGCTCGGAAAAGCTTGTTGCAGGAATAAAATCTGTCATCTGAGCAGTGACTTGAATGAAAAACTTCAGTATAGATATGCTAAGGGCTAAAGAATAAATGATCCTCACAAATCTACGGGACCGTGTCAAACACACGCAGGAGTGAGGCAGGAGGGGCACCCAATGGGCTGAGTGCGAACGATATGAGCATCAAAACGAAAATAAGACTGATAAGTAACAACCAACTGAATCAAAGCAACCTGCGGGTCCCTACTGATGCTAACGAATACATAAAGTGGGTAGAAGAGAAAACTAGCCTTTGTAGTGGAATGCCAACTAATAAATGCAAAGGACTAAAAGAGTTAGAAAGTTACAATTTTTACCAAAGCAAAAATAACTGATCAGGCAAGGGTCATGAATGGATGCTTCAATTTATTGAGAAACAATTAATAGTGTCAGAGTACGCCCCCTACACACTCCCACACATACATACACACCAGAAATTACTTACTGATTATAAAGGGAGACTCTGGAGACACCACCTTAACCAAGCGATCAGAGTTACCATCACCAATAATGCAATAAAACCAACATCGTGTATCCACTAATGTAATACTCTGTGAAGAATCGTTGCTTAGTGTTTGTGCCCCAAATGCATAATTTCCCATTTGAAAACTTGGTCAAATCTGTCCAAACGCTATCTGAAGCATCAAATGGTTAAAGCTGAATATAGGCTCCGCTGCTGACATAGCTAACATAAAACAGATTAGCTAATGATGGCTGGGCATAAAATATAAAAATTCTCACTCATAACTTACTCTTAAATTGTCACAGGTTTTTACCATGTTGAAAGCAACTTCCTCTATATGATTTCAATTCTTTCCCTGCTGACCCAAGGACAGACAAGGCAGAGGACACGGTCTTGTTTGGCCAGGGGTCACTCGACTGAGAGGAGGCTGTAGCACAGGGGACGAGGGCATGGGCCTTCCCTCTGACTCTGCTAAGAGACCCTACGCCTGCATTTCCTAAACCGTCATGTGCCCACGAGTCACTGCAGATCCTGAGGCAGCAGATCGGTAACAGGGACTGAGATTCTACTTTTCTAATGAGCCCCTGAGGGATGCTGATCATCCTTGGAGAAGCAAGACTTTGCCTTAAACAAAAAATTCATGCAAAACATAAGTCCTTCAAAACTGACTAAAAAAATCTGAATCCTCTGATGTACTACCTAGCCTGTAAAATGTTCTTTTATAACCAGTGCATGTAATGTGCAGAATTGGCCATTCAAAAGTCCCTGTTAAAAACATGGACTACCCACTAAAATGAAATCTGAATTCACTTGCCCTATTTAAATCCCAAAGTAGATTATTCATAAATCCGCCTGACAGCCATTTTGTAATGATCTAGAATCTAATTTTTGGCTACATTTCTCCAGGCCCTGAAGTAGGAAAATGAGACTAATTGGGTGGTAGAAGATTGCGGGACAGCACTCAAAGCGTCCACGAGATGGCGCCCTTGGGTCGCCTGGCGACCCGGGAGCGGGCATCGCCTTAGGAATTGGACTTGGCTGCTGGTGCAGACTGAGCGAGCAGGGCCGGGAGCAGAGAAGCTGCCTGCTGAAGATTATCTCACAAAGCTTCACGCTCCAGATGCGTGAACCCCGTGGCATCCGAGGACCGGAGGCATTCACTGAAGTTGTCACAGCAGAAGTTGATTTAGGTTAGTTTTTGTTTTCCAACTTACGTAGCAGGGATGAGGAGAGAGATTAGAGAAAAAAAATCTTACTCTCAAAGGTGAAGAGACCAGAAAATGTGAGACTTTGACATTTCAATCTCTAAAAAGGAGACTATAGCTCTTATTCTTTCTACAATTTCTGAGCACCTCAGTACATAAGGCTGTGGGGGAGAGGCAGAGCAATGAGCAGAAGTCTGGGCGGATGCGCAGAGAGAGGAGATATTAACCCATGAAACCCAGGGGGAGAGGCAGGTGAGAGCGCGGTAGTGCCTGACTGAGGCACAGGCGAGGGGCTGCCAAGAGGGGACAGCTCAAGCAAGTGTCAGGAATGGAGTGTGGCACACAGCCAACTCTTAGGAACACAAGTTACCAACTGACAATGCTAGAATCCCCCTCAAAGATAAGCTGGTGTGAGAGAAGGCTATTTTACCAAGATTTTACTGATGCTACCCAAATGCATTATTTCACAGTTAGAAAGCCAGCATTTCCCCAGGTGAGAGAACAACTCCTGGGGCAACTATGATGTCTGAGACAGTGAGAACTTACCCCAAGCCAGGGGACACTTTAGTAACTTTATTATCTCATTTCACCCTCAATAGCAACATAGTTATAATCATGATCATCCCCATTTTATATGCAAGGAAGTCAAGATATAAAGAATCAGAGTATCTTGTCCAAAGTCACAGGGGTAGCAAGTGGCAGACCCAGGACTCAAGCCCAGGCAGTGTCGGCTGAAGACTGAGTTTTTAATGGCTGCACTGCACCACACGGCTCTCCAGAGAAAGGGGCTCTCAGTGAGTTAGTGCTGGTGGCTTGGGCTGGAAGACACATAAAACAGTAGCTGGTTGCCAGGCTAAGTCTGGAACTATTTCCCACCTGTGCCAACAACCTTTTGAGATAGAGATGTTGAGATTTAGGTCTTTATTAATAAGACTAGATCACAAAACAGAAAAGTAATCTCTGAGTCAATAAATTAGATTCTCCAGCACTTTAAAACTAATCCTTGTTGATAGTTCAGGCATCTTAGAAATGCCATTCATTCTTTCAGGGGAGTAGGGTGATCATTAGTAACATACTATGTATGGCCAAGGGAACTCTAAGACATTGAGAAATTTGAGTCAATACACACAGTTTGAGGGTGAAGAGAATTATGAGACTAATTTTCTCACTATAGTCAGTTCAAGGTATTCCTAACAGTGGTCCGAGTTTTTAAAAGGAATGTGGAAATACTGCAGAGTGGAGTAAAACCACATAAATAATCTTAAGACTTGGAACAAAGGGCTCATAAAGAAGGGGCTTAGGAGGTGTTAGGCTCAAAAATAGGAGCCTGCAGTGTGACTTAATGATTTTCAAAAGAATGAAAAGCACACTACTGCTTTCTGTCCTCTTTAACTACAGAAGATGAAAAATTTAATTTAAATTTTTAGGTGTAGATTTAGGTTAGATCTGGGGCCATTGCATCAACTGGGCAACTGGACAAAGGTGCCCAGAGTGATGATCCCAAGATCTTTGCAAACCAACCCTGGAGCCCTATTAAACTGGAGGTGAGCCTCCAGACCAGAGTGGTCTTCAGCTCTTCTAAGGAGGCGAAACTTTATTCAGAACTTTAATACTGTAGCCCTGTCTCTGGGGAGACTGAGCTGGCTAAAAGCCTTCGAGACCCTGCACAGCACCTCTTGGCCTTGTCTACCTGCCACCAACTCTGGTCTGCTGACTGTGCCACCTCTGGGCGACCTTGACTCTGAATCAGGGTTTCTCACTGGAAAAGTGAAAGGCAGGATTTCCAGCATTTTCCATCACCTAACTGCAAAAATATTTTGAAAGCCTCTTTGTTCGCCACTACAAAAAGAACAGCCTGATTGAAAAACAAAGTAGGGCATTACACTTGGAACGAAACCCTACAAAGCAATACCATAGTAATGCTAAACTTTCCAATACCTGTTCAACCCTTGCTAGGTGTTAATTACTTATAAAGTTCTAGAATCTTCAGAGAGGAACAGAACATATAGGAAATGTGTACCTGACTATCCTGTAAGAGCTTATGTACCAAGAATAGGCAATAAGACCCAGGTATAATGAAACCTCAAGTGTGGGAAGCACAGGTGCTGCTGGTGGGCCCTCAAGCCTTTATTGAGCAAAGGGACAAAAGTTCACGGAGCGGGGATTTGATTTTGAGACAAGTGGCAATAAACGACCTAATTCTTCTTAAACTGGCAGTTGGGGAAATTATTTTAGCAGATGTGAAGTGGGAGGCTACTAGGAAAAGGCACAATGCAAAATGTGGAAGATATGTTAGAACAAAAATAACTGAGAAGAGGCAAATGGCAATGAATGACACCAACTCAGCAAGAAGGAAAAACCATGCAGAAAATCATCCATTGGATCATTTTCTTAAAAATGACTCTGCATTTGAAAGACTTGCTAAAATTCAGCCTCTAGACCTGAATAGCTGTGCTAACAAGAATTTTAAATACTGCTCCACAACCCTGAAATCAAATAGCTTATATCTTTTAAGCCCCCAAAGAGAATCAGTCAGTTATGTTTAACTCAAATATAAGCCTTAGGAAAATACTAGAAAGTTATACTTTGTTCTCCATGCCCTGCTCTATTCGGGGAGAAAAGACAGATTAAAAAATCTGCTAGGCAAACTGTGCATTGTCCCTCTCCCCATAGAGAGCAGAGGCTCAAGAGTCACAGGAAGATCCTGGACGTGGAACCTGCGACACTCGTCCAGGGAGAAGCTCTATGCAAAGCAATTAGGGGACAGAAATTGAAGGCATCTGGGAGCAGAATGGGCAGCAGAGGAACACAAAGAAAAGGCCA